AAATGTGTCGAGGTGGAACTCAGCAACTCCATGCTTTGTACCAGGTGTGTGTGTGTGTGTGTGAACGTGTTTGAGTTAGCCTTAAATCTGCTCAGAAGGAATGACATTGTACATGTCAGAGTTTGCCCATGCTCTTTCATCTTCCCTTTATAGCCCGTCTGAAGCTGCATTTCAAAACACCTTATTCCTGCCACAGAATGGTAAAAATAAACTTGCCGTCAGGAAAGTTTGTCAGTGGGAGTATCTCTTTAATCTGGTCCACAAAAAATTAAGCTCTCTCTGAGTTGACACCCAACGTCAGGCACACGTCAACGTGCGGACAGCTCATCTCCTCGAAGCCTTTGCGAAGCCTTGGTGATTAATAGTCGTGTGTTTTGTCAACATCAGTGTCTCTGCCTCCGTTGCACAAGGATTAATACACCATCACGCCGGTTTGATGGCATGTTTCACCAGAGTACGGAGATGAATTGCCACAGCTGTGTATTTGCATGAATATAGTGATTTAATGTAGAGGATGTAGCTTTGTGTCAGACGTAAACACATGGATTGGTAACACATCAATGAACTTGGGAAAATGCAGAGCTGTTTTCATTAGCCGTCAAAGACTAATACATACATTTCATAGAAAACTTGACATCTAATATATGCAGGATTTTGCTAGCAAAAACAAATGACTGTAAGTCAAGGGGAAATAGGATTGGATGTAGATATACAATCTCATTTGAAAGATAGCATTGTAAACAAGCTAGTCCATATTCAAGAGGCTCCATTTGATATGTTCAGGCTCATTGTGTGTAGAATTTGAAAATTCTAACTTTCTGTCTTTTCATTGTATTATATTTCTCTGCTATTGACTCATATAAAAAGCTATTCGCTAGCATTCCCATTCATCTCAATGGCAGTAGCTTGACAAGGCAATGCTAACTAGCCAAACCTTGGTTTGACAGAGAAAAACACTGGCAGTTTCCTCAGAGTTTTAAACTCTCTTTTCCTCATTTTCAAGCTTGTGCGTTTGCATTTGTATTGTTATTGCACTATATGCTGCTATCCATCATATGATATGCTGATTTGCTAAGTGGCCTGCAGTTATCTGTTCAGTAGGAATGAAGATTAAGAGTTAAAGCGTATGAAGCATGCTAGAGGAACATGCTGGCAGCACAGCGAGTTGCCACCTATAAGGCTGAGCTGTTTTGGATTTATTTTGTAATTAGGCTTATCGATTTGCCATCCTGTTGTGTTTTACATGTTCATTTGCCTCCCTTGTGCTCTCAGCAAGGACACAGCGCTGCACTTTTGCTGTATTGACGCTCGCTAACCATGGATTCCAAACATTTGGCTTCATTCAATATACAGTCTCAAGACTGCATTACCAAGTCAAAGAAATTCAAATAACAATATCATCGCCATACCGGATTTCTCAAGCTCTGCGTTTATTTATTCAGTTCAGTTGTTCAAGGCCCTCTGATGTTTTCGAGTGGAACTTGGGCTATTTCTTAGGCGGAAATGCTTTCAGTGAACAAACAACTTAAGTCGTAGGCAAAAGGCAAATTTAATATGTTGGCCTTTTCTCTGCTGTGTTTTCTTTCTTTTTTTGTCCTTTTTTTTAGGCTGATTTTTTTTTACACAATACATGGATCAGGATATTGGATTACAATATTTTACTCAGATTAAGTATATACAGTGGCTTTTCAAGCTCAGGGACCAAGTAATATAGCTGGTTTGCTGGATGTGCACACTTAAGACTTGATTTGGTTTTGAAGATATTTTTCCTTTTTCAGTTTGTGCTGAAAATGTAAGAGCTCTTTCTGGAAATTCATTTTGAGCAAACAAGACAGAACCACTGTTTCCTCCCACAGTACTTTAACGTCAGCGAATATCTCTTGTATACTTCATATACAGACACAAACAAATAGGGATGTTCTTTGCTTGACTGCAAATACTAGAGCGAATACCTTTTTTTGTGTGTACTTCCTCACACCACCACACATGACACTCTGTATCTTGAAGCTTGATGATGAGGTACTGGGCTGTAGGTCCGTGTTCAGGGTATACTGATATAAATGTAAGTTTAGAAGTTCCTACTCTCTTAGTTATAGGATTAGTGTTGTATCATACAGTGTAAATTCAAAAACCTTCCTGGACTTTTACAGGGTAAAAAAATCTAATGTTGAGCACTTTGGGTCAATCTGATTTACTGAATGAAGCGTTTTTCTAATTACCCATGATTGCAGTGTGTATAAACGAGCTCTGGGCTGCAGAATGCTGCTGTGTGTAGATCTGTCTCATGTGGTTTGGTTCTAGGTCAGTTCCTCTCTTGTCACAAACATTAGGAAGCAAAACATTCCAGTAATTTCTTGACACATAATGGTGTTTATGATTGACAAGCTCAATGACACTGCCTGCAGGGATTCTTTTGACAAGAAAAGAATCAGATGTTGTTTTTTGAAGGTACAGTTTCACCTAGATAGACCGGTTTGCCTTCATCGCTTTTCCTTGTGATGTGATGGTATCCATCGCTTGTGGTGCTAACAGCCGCTTGCTGCCCGGGCTCATCTCATTCACCGCAGTTGATGCAGGAAGATGAAATGTATTAGCCTCATATCGGGAAACTAATATGCTATCATTTACAGCATTACGCTCCCCAACTGCACACGAAAGAAAATGTTCAAAGAGCTCCATCAGGTGCCTTCCATTAAACTGGAAAATTTAAGCTTATGGTAGCATTATGAAATATCAGTGTAGTTCAGAACCCCCAGGTAATTGTGGGTGGAAAATAAGTTTGCGAGAGGCCTATAATTCACCATATTTCTGATAGTGCCGAGCCCTAATTGTCATATTTAGTCCGAGAATCAGCCTGCCTAACACTGAGGTTTTTCAATAAGTGCTTGTGACAGTACTTGGGGTTACCATGGGTACGGTTTGCTGCACATTGCTCTTGTACACCCCAACACCCCGATCTGTCGTTTCTGTACTGCGGTAAATACTCATCTCCGCCTGCCACATTAACAGAACTGGAAATGGGCCAGCGCTATTGACGTGTTGTTATCTTGAGGTCCAAAAATCCACGGCCTTGTGCTCCTTGTACACCCACTGACAACATCCTTCCCAGGAGTGAGTTTTAATTGGTTGGCTGGCCCAGTCACTGGGGATGTACAGCATATGCTTCTCCTTTTAGCTTCAAGACAGAAACTGTGATTTTATGTAAACTACCTTAGTAATTAGATAACAAAGAAAAGCTTTCTGCTGAAATGTTTCGGTTAGGATGTGTAGGAGGAGCATCTACAAGTGTGTATGGGTATAATTTAAGAATGGGTCATGATGGATGATAACCAATTACAGTAGTTGATGGTTCCCACAGACATGGACCAAATATCAGGGGATTTTAAAATTGTGATCTCCAGGCCTGGAAAAGTCAGGAAAATTTTCATAGTGAACATATACTGCTGTTCAAAAGTTTGGGGCCATTATTAAAGAAATTTATACTTTTATTCAGTAAGGACACAGTAAATTAATCAAAAGTGACAAGACAATTGTAATGTTACAAAACATTTATATTTCAAGTAAATGCTGTTCTTCTGCACTTTATATTCATCAAAGAATATAATAGATTTATTTTCATAAAACTTTTAAGAAGCACAGCTGTTTTCAACATAATAGTAATAATAAGAAGAAAAGTTTCTTTAACACCAAATCAGCATATTAAAATGATTTCTGAAGGATCATGTGACACTAATGGTTACTGAAAATTCAGCTTTGCCATCACAGGAATAAATTGTATTTAAAAATTATAATAATATTTCACAGTATTGCTGTTTTCGCTGTATCAAATAAATCAGCCTTGCATAAGCATAAATAAGTTCTTTCCAAAAAAAAAAAAAAAGTCATACGACCATACATTTTTAAATTGTGGTGTATATTTTTCAATTTTTGTTTTCAACGTTCTGCTCAAAAATGTTGTATCAGCTAGATATTTCTAGATATTGTAGGTTACTCTTTCGCTTTTTGCAGACATTTGAAAGATGTAATACATTTAGATGGTAGATAATTCGATAACGGTAAATATCGCGATATAATTTTCCTCGATAAAACGATATGAAGAGTTCGATAAATGTTCGATATAATGTTTATGCGCCAAAAGCGGAACAAAACAGCGCGATTTATTTGAATCGCGCCACACGGACCGTTTATCCACTCGGATCAAAGTACAAACTGCCACGCGGCGCGTGCTCACTAGAGCAGATGCGTTTACTCGGTCACGCGAGCATTAAGCAGCGCTGTGAGATCCAGTGTGAAGCGCTTGAATTCAGCGATGAACACAAAGACTGAGTGATTTAAACTAGTTTAAAGCCAAACAGGAGAAACTCTGTGTGCAACGAGACAGTCAGAAGGCTTTTCAATCTACAAATCGCCATCATTTACCATGGATTTACTGTAGTAACACTCACTGCACCATGGTATTGTGGTAGAAATTGGGAATCCCAATTTGGGATATTCACACTGAATTTTATTAAAGGAGTAATGGTATATAATTGTAGTATGTATTTGTGATTAAGCTATAGCATGTGTGCATTTATACTGAATGAGAAATTAATTTTTCTATTTAGATATTTATTTTGTTAAGGAAAATGAATGGTCTGGTTTCTACAACTTTCACTTTGGAGCAAAAATCTGGCTTTAAACTTGAAAGAAATAAAGATTTGACATTTATCATGATAATTATCGATATCGACTGATATGAAAAAAATTATCATGATATATTTTTTTGGCCATATCGCCCAGCCCTAATTTACATCTATTCATTCCATTCGTACCTGATATAGAAAACTGCTCCAAAAATATCTGGCATTATAAGAAATGATTTTTGATTAATCATTCAGCCAATCGACTAACTAGTTGATTTTGCAAAGACATAGTTTTCATTTCCTTTGTTTGATTTGTGTATCGTATCCATGTAGGTTATTTCTGAAATATGGATTTCTCTCTGTCTCTCTCTTCTCCAGCTGCCTTGCAAGTGGAAATCACTCCAGTCCAGGGAGAGATCAGCGTGGGAGAATCCAAATTCTTTTTGTGTGAAGGTAGGAAGATGACCCTCTTGTGATAAAACAATGCAGGGGTCACGTCACATTTAACCTTCTCAAACTGCTTTTGATTTCAAACCTGCTCTCACCGCTCTGTTCAATGCATTTAAACAAGCCCTTTCATTCTGATGGGTGGGCAAGGTTGACTAAAGCTTTGATGTGCTTATTTACAGCAGGTAAATTCATTGACCTGCCTGACTTTTTCAGTAAATCAGTGTGTGAATTTTAGTCCTTGATTTTTGATCCAGAGGAGTGAAATGTAATGTTAAAGAATGATGGTAGATGAAAAGCAAAAACAACCTCTATTATAAATGAGGAACACCTGAAATATTCAGAGGACTCATCAAATGGGGAAAAGGAAAATGTGACTTATTTACAACAATATTATTTAACTTTTTTATTTTCATAAGATTTGTAAAAATATTTTACTGCACATTAACCAGCTTGAATATGTCCTTAAGTAGCACTGAACAATACATTTAACATTGTGAATATATTATGAATATTTTTGTTGCAGAAATAAAATTAGAAATTGGCCGCAGCACCTTAAAAAGTCTTAAAATGTTTTAAATCAAATTTTCCTAATAAAAGGCCTTAAAAAGTCTTAAATTCAGATTTGGTGGGTTTTAAATATTTTTGGTCACCGCAAAAACGTCTCCAGTCTGACGGACCCAATGACTGTCATTGGACAGGCCAAAGATTTTTTTTCCCTGCGGTCTTTACTGCGACATCGGAGAGAGAGATGCACCGGGCCATAAATCGGAACCGGACGGTTTTTGCTCCAAACACACAATCGGCTTTTAATTTTATTTTGGCTGATCTCTATTCCGGAACTGCACTCAAACTGTATTGCAATCATTTCCCAAAATGTAATTTGTGTGGAAATATTACTAAGTCTGTGAACGGGCATTAACAGAGGCCAGAGACACTGAAGACAGACGCAAAGAGGAGAAAATACTGTAGTAGGCAAAGCAAGATCACTGTTCACAATGCTTGAAACATAGGAAAAAAATATATAAATATTGAATTGGGGATGAGGGGTTATATGAATGTATCCAGGGGCACCTGCAGGATTTCAGCTGAGGGTATGCACAGAGACCTTTTTTTTTTTTAATGAAGGTGTCTCTAGACACGTAAAAAATCTTTTAAACCTGAAAACGGCCTAAACAATGGAATGGTCAAAGGCATCTATCGCATGATCACATAGCAAAGCAACTGAAAAACTGGATGCAAAAACTGATTCTGTGTGAATGGCCGCTTATTCACAGGTCTCAGCTGAATTTTTTAAAGTGAACTTTCAAAATGTAGTCTTTTGTTTCAGTTGTTTGTAGTTGATTGTCCATTTCATCCAGCACAGTTTGGTCTCTGTGTTCTTGTTCGTTTTTTTGACAGAGAAACCTCTTCAGATGATTCAACCACGAGTTGATTCAACATAGGCAACATAACAGTTGGCTACTAAAAGTAGCCAACTGTTATTGTAATTTATTAACTATGCACATCATAAACATGTCTTCTTAGACAATGTATGGGTGTCATGTCATAAAATATTTTAGCATGACTGAATTTATATTTAACGTGATCACAGTTTAATAAAAACATTGTAAGTTACTATTTCATTATTTTGTTTAAATTCCATGGTTATTCAAACAGCAAATAAAGTATTGATGTTTTATTAACAAGGTTCAGGAGGAGCACGTTCAGATAATCAATCAATTCAGCACAGGTGGAGCTCATCTAGATAATCAACTTAACTTGCAATATAATATATATACACACAGCCAACTCACCTCTGTCCCACGACAGTTTTCCGGCATCCCTCCTCCACCCCAACTCCTCACTCTTAACTATTCTCATCCCAGACCAGGGATGGGGGGGTTCTCTGGGTTCAGGCTATATTCTGAGCTAGGAGTCCTCCCTTAGGACAGCATGCAAAATATGCTTACTACTTGCTCAATCCAATTATATGTAAGTGCAAACTCGTGAATATACTGAAAGCGAGCAAAGAATTTACATTATCACATTATCACTGACTATAGTCTAGTGTGAGTTTAAGCACTCTCAAACAACTCACATTAAAATCACTGAAGCTGTGAAATGAATCTCTTACTTACATCGTATGTACATCTGCACTTTGTTTATGATGAGAAAATTCACAAGAAAGTAGAATTCAGTCAACAAGTGCGCGCACTGAACAAAACTCCAGCGTTTCAGTAATGACTCATCTGAACGCTCCTGATTGGCTATTGCATTCATAAACTCAACAGAATCTCGTTTGATTGGTTATAATGCACAGCATTCGCAGGGAAAATGTTTCTCAGCTTCAGGTCAGTCAGAGCCGTACACCTGCAGGCGCCACTGAATGTATCTCTGAAGGGAACTGATTGTCTTCAGAAAGGTTTTGATGACATTTTCTTTTTCTTTTATCTTCGTGTACATAAGCGCAGCGCTGTTTTGTTTACAGCGGTAACCAAGGAAACGCTGTATTGTGGCTGTTCCATAAGCGCCACCTGCTGTCAGAGAATGAATTTGCATTTTCTTTAAGTCCGTCTGAGGTTTTTGTTTTGTGCAGGTGTCTAATGTAGCATAATTTCACATATCTAAAGTCAGACCATTCTGTTTTTGCCTTTAATCTTGAAATTATACATTCTAATTCATATCAAAAACAACTGTTCATGCTATGTGTAGCATCTTTATTTGGATCATAATTAAAATTGTTACGCAAAGGTAAAAGAGCAGGCAGGGAAGTGGATCTAAGCACAGAAATACATTAATAAACGAACAGGGAAACACTAGAAACAAGCGATAGCATACAACGACTGACCAACCACGAGTGAAACACAAGCACTATTTATACACAAGGGAAACCAGCTAAACAAGATAACAAGGGGGCGTGGTAAATGAGAAACACCAGGTGATAATCAACAAGGAAAAATACTAAGAACTACAAAACATGGCACAAGACTGGACATAACATAAAAGTCCACCAACACATAGGGAATACATGTAACAAAAATGCAGTGGTTGCCTCTAATTGCTTGCTTTCAAATGGCTATGGATATTTTTGTTTTAAGCCAGTTTGCCTGTTATAGAGCAAATAAACAACAAATAAATTTACTTAAAAAAAAAAAATGGTGATCAGTATTGGAATCGGCCAATTTGCTTGAAAAAAAAAACCCGGAATCATGAAAAATCATGATCCAAGATTGGTGCATCACTAAAAAAAAAAAAAGAAATAAATAAAAAGAAAAATATACATATATATGTATGTAATCTAAGTTTGGTCCTAAATTTCATATAATATATTAAAAAGGTCTTAAATGTCTTAAATTTAACTGGTTTATATCTGTAGACACCCTGATAATGAAGTCATGTTAAAATATATTAAATATTAAAATAAATATTATAATAACAAATATATGAAAATGATTTAGTAAAAAATTTAGATAAATCTGTTTTACTATTTTGTTATATTTGTGCATATGAATTATTAAAGGCAGGGTAGGTGATTTAATTCAAAAACATTTATTTGTTATGCTGGTTGAAAGTCACATCCTGATAGCAATCACTAAGTTAAGTGGTCTAAATGTATTTATATGTATTTATATCGTCTGTGGAAGGTGTAGGACCATAAAATGTTCGTCCAATCATATCCCTCAGTCTGAGGGCTACGATAGGCTGTCCTACCTCCTTATGCTTTCAAAGCTAGCTTGCTATTGCTAGCCTCTCCGAAATCGCCTACCCTACCTTTAAATAGCTGATGAGCTGACGGTCTGTCGCAATGTTTTCACTATATCTGTCTGTCTGTCTGTCTGTCAGTTGTTGGAGATGCTAAGGAAATAGACTGGTTTGCACCCAATGGGGAGAAGCTCCTGCCAGGCAGACCAGACATCAGTGTCAGCAAGAATGACGAGTCCTCGTCGACGCTCACAATCTACAATGCCAACGTCGACCATGCGGGCATGTACAAGTGCATGGCGAAAAGTGGGGACAAGGAATCTCAGGGCACTGTCATCGTAAACATTTTCCGTAAGTAAAATATTTTCCTTTCAAGGGCTTATTTAGAAATCATGAGAAATGAGGAATCAAATTGTATTGGACCCAACAGTAAACCCCAAGCATAATAAATCATCTGACATTTACCACAACATGTAATAACAAAACTGTACAATAATAATAATGAAAGCATAAGGTTGAGACACGTCAGTTTTAAACATCAACCACGCATATGGCATGAAAACAGTTGCTAATGGAATACATTTTATATATTTTATATTTCTTGAAATCATCACCCAAAATGTTTTGATGCTTCCAACCCTCTACGGACACCTTGGCAATTGAATCGCCATTGGCTAGTATATTTTTTTGTTCATTTGTAATTAAATATATATGATTAATTATTAAAAATGCAACAATTAAAATCAATGTATTTAATAAAATAACATTTAACATTTATTCATAAATATAAATTGTTCTATGAAATATTATGTAATTGTTTTTATTTCATTATTGATGTCATTAAAAAAAACAGCTGATCAGCATGTCACTTCTTTCAAGGATACTTACTAAAATAATATATTTCAGATCATTTATCATCTTGAAGTTTATTTTTCAAACCAGAAATAAACTGTTTACCCAATGGGAAAAAAATCTTTAATCTTTCTCAGAAATATATCAAGTATGTTTACATATTTTCTTTCTCAAAATATTCCTTAATATCTAATGCAACATTGCTTCTCAAGGTTTTACTGAAATACAAGACAAAAATGCAGATTAAGAAAAGGATTTTTGCAGTAGTGGTACAACTGAAGAGCATTTCAAATGTCTTTTTCAGAGAAACTCACTTTCCAAAACGCTCCATCACCTCAAGAGTTCAAGGAAGGCGATGACGCCGACATCATCTGTGATGTCATCAGCTCGCCGCCCCCAACTATCATCTGGAAGTATAAAAAGACCAGAATCCAGCCAGAGACTGATGGTACAGTACCACGAGCAGATCTCTTTCAGTCATTTTCTTTCATTCCCTTATGTCACACTCATATTTCTGTTTTACGCATCTTCACTTCTCTCGTTTTTAAATATCTCCCATACTTTTCCTGTCAAAATCATCCCCTCTTCCAGTTAGTGAGCTCTCTAGCGCTGTGACAATGAAAACAGCGACAGTAAGCACCTGCATTTTTATTGTGAGAACTTAAAGTTTCGTGCTGTTTTCATCTGCATTGTTTTGTTAGTCAGTTCAAGCCTCATTTGGATTAAACTATTTTAACCTCGGAGGGCTCCTCCCTCAGAGCTGGAAGAAACAGTGACCGCAGCTCTCTGCTGTGAGACATTAACTCACAGGCCACTGCTAGATGAAATTTTCACTGCGAAACCACTAATTGTAGCGGAGCTTGAAAACCAAACTGCTCTATGTAAATAACACATTTTCCACATTTCTCTCATTAACCTCTTCTGTGCTCTTTTTTTGTTTGACTTAGCAGTACGGATGAAGCACAACACAAAACACTCTGTCATTGTTACATACTACTCTTATTATTGCTGCAGGGTTCTATTTAAAAAAAAAATTAGGCAGTATCCAGTGTATACTGTGTAGTGTGCACTAAGTAGTAAGCAAATATTGCTTTACCAACACAGCCGGAAAGATGTGCTTTATCTTGCTGAATTTGACTTTTTCATCATTTTTAATATATCAGTACTGTTTTAGTGTGTCTCCACGGAGTTAAAATATTATATGCACCTTTACTGTGGGTCTTGAATACAGATCGCACTGCAGAAAAGCCCATAAAGATGATTTTATACTGGGAGAAGATGTGCAGTGAGTCATTTTGCTGCCCAGCATGTAACGAGAGGCTCATTAACACGGTCTCCTATCTTACTCAAGAGTAATTACTGTCTCATTTTGCTTCCTTTTGTTGTTGTTTTTTCCTCTCTCTGTTTCTATCTCACACCTACAGTCCGTTTCAAGGTCTTAAGCAACAACCACCTCCAGATCCGCGGCATCAAAAAGACAGATGAGGGTGACTACACCTGCGAGGGCCGTATCATGGCCCGGGGAGAAATCGACCTCAGGGTCATCAAGGTCATTGTCAATGGTGAGGACTCAATCTCAGAGCCACCTGCTTTGTTACCTCACATGTTTTATACACATCTTTATACACATTTACACCAGTGTTTCTCTACAGAATTAAACAGTCTGACTTTTTTCTAGTAAAAACAAGATACATTTGCTTGAGATGCTAAATTGCATGTTATTAATTCGTTAATTTTAATAAATATTAATAATTCATAAAACATAATAATTCATGATTAGACTTGTATTCATTGGGTGACCTTTTTAAATACAATTTTTAAACGTAAATCAAAGATTTTGTGAGACGTATACCTTATTTCCTAGAACATAATCTTATTTTGCTAAAGTAAATCAGATATTTTAGTATTAGAAAATTTTAGAGATACTCCAAAACAATACATACATGTTAAAAAAGAGGGTTTATTTTTTTTATTTTTTTTGCAGTGTGTTGGCTTTGTATTTTAGCTACAGTATGTAATAGAATATTTTCTCCCAAAAAGAAAATTCTGTATTTATTAAAGTCTTTCCAAACCCATATGCTGTTATTTTGTCTAGGGAACATAAAAGAAGAATGTTTCATAAATGTTTGAAGTGTTTTTTTCCCGTAATACAGCAGTTCTGAAGCCATCCGATAACTTTATGTGAGGAACAGACTAAACTTGTGCAATATTATTCAGTGATGACTGGCTTCAGAAAACTACTTTTATAATGTTTTATCTGTTTCTTTTATGGAGCACATGGTTACTATGAACTGTCATTAAATCGAAATGAGTTCCACAGATTAAAATTACAGCATACAGATTTGGAACGAAATCAGAACGAGTCGTATTGTCATTTTTGGGTCGTCTGTCTCTTTAAAGAGTCAGTATTTACCAGAATGTTCTTTTCGCCTTTCTCTTCTTCTCCCAGTTCTGCCAAGTATCAGGACGCGCTACACTGAGCTTAATGGCACTGCAGACATCAACCAGGCCATGACGTTGGCCTGTTACGCAGATGGCTACCCAGAACCCACCGTCACGTGGGCACGGTACGTGTCATCCATCACCCTTTATTTTTTAGCGGCCCTTTATCTGTTTGTGCCAAAACAGCGCCAAAAAAGTTCAGCCAAATCTCTGTAGGGAATGCTAAGCTTTTCCCCGAATACAGGGAGGGAGAGGGATCAGAGTTATTGGAGCTTGTAAACTAAAAGTGCTGTGAATGACAGAGGCACCGTTTCATCCTTTCAGCTGCCGTTAGCCGTGGCAGCTAAAGCAGCTGGTGGCTTTCAGCATGGCTTTACCTCAGAACTCCAGTGACTTCTTTAACCAAGTCGTGACTGGCACGCGAATGAGAGGACGAGATCGCATCATGTCTGACTGTTGCCTCGGGAGAAGGAGGGATAAGAGCGTTCGCCACAACCTCATTTATTTCCCTCCTTCACTGACAGTGCTGTCACTTGGGTGCCATTTGAAAATGTCGCTCAATTGCTGCTGTTACAAGCAAAAAGAGCAGGTATTCAGATCCAGACTTTGCATGACTGATTTAGTGTCACAGGGAAACACAGCTCACAGTATTCTTCCAAATAAAAAAGCCCATCAGCTTGATGTTTCTGGCCATCAGACATTATTTAAACCTTTTTATTGGCTTTGAGACAGGAACGTGTCAAGAAACCGAAGATGACAAAGCAGATCCGCTTTTATTTTTCTCCAGCTTCTTCCTACACTATCAGCATCATGAGAAGCTGTGCACTGCAGGATGAAGAATCCATTTCATGGGCAGGCACACTTTCTCTCTGTATTTTCTGGTGTATGTGAAGATGAGGAATCATGTATTCATGACTTTGCTGAGCAAGTAACAGCTTGAACGCCAAACAGTAAACCTATCCTTTCTTTCGTTATATCTCTCACTCTCTCTCTCTGCCTCGCAGAGGTAATATCGTGCTGGAATCAGATGGAAAGTACAGTTTGAATGAAGATGGGTCGGAGTTGACCATCAAAGACATCACTAAGCTTGATGAAGGAGATTACCAGTGCATCGCTAGAAACAAGGCTGGAGAGAGGAGCGAGGAAGTCTCACTCAATGTGTTTGGTAAGCTAAAGAATTCTGTCATTACCATTGGAGCTGAACTGAAAACAAGTGTTTACATATGAGTTACCAGGAAAATGTTCTCTCCATTAGGACCATACAATTTGTCAATTTAAAATCAAAATCGTGTTATTGCCTTGTGCGATTATTAAGCCGTGAAATGTTGCAATATTATTAAATGAAATGTCATCTGTTATGTCATCTGCTACACTCTGCATGCAAAAGGCCCATAGTGTAGTGTTTTCAGTATCGCAGAGCGGCTCACTCTACAAGTTACTATTCTAATCAAATTTAAAGAGCAGGTCATATGGGTTTTCAAAAAATTTCTTTTTAGCCGTTTGTAATGTAGCTATCCTTCGATGTAAACAGTCTGCAAAGTTGTTAATCAAAAAAGTGCATGATAAATAAAGATGTCTTTCAAAAGAAAGAGTTGACTCTGAACCGCATTAACGAGTCATCATATTTTTTAATCTTCTGCCTGTTACCTATATACGTCACAAGGTAACACATTTGCGTAATCCCCGCCCGCGAAATACAAACACTCTGACCTGCCCACAAAAACTTCCGCTAGTTAGTGTGTTTATATCAGGTCGAGAAGACCCTGTGTTTTCAGCCTCACTGGGCATTCAAACACAGTTCCCACACCTGCACCTCAAATAAGTAAATAATAATAATGAATGCTATAAAACTGCTGTCACATCACGTAAAGTACCACATACAAAGTTTAAACTTACCACTGAGAAACGTCCTGATCAAGTCGTGCTTGTAGTGGAGTTTCCGGTTGAGCGATTGTATCAGTATTATCCTCGGACTCATCAGTATTAGTATTATCCTCGCATCAGTATTATCCTTGGTTCGAATTGATAAGGTAATATTGATGCCATTTTTGTAACCTTATAGCATCTTTGTTTACAAGTAACCCTCCAAAGCAAAAAAGTAATTATGGTAATGGGCGTTTCGTTCCGACACGCATTGTATATGGAAAGACCAATCACAACAGACTTTACCAGCTGACCTATCAGAGCAGAGTAGGCTTATGGAAGGGAGGAGATTACAGACCTTAAGCTCAGAACTGCTTTGAACGAATCATTTCGAAATCATTGCAAAAATGATTCTAATATTAAATGTATATTCTGAGAAAATTACAATGTTTCCTTGAGTCCAAATAAAGACTATATTTTGTGAAAATGAAATATATGAAATATGAAAAATTTGATATTTGTTATATATGTTGTATAGTAAAATAATAATAATAATAATTATTATTATTATTATATGATTAATCATATAGTAACATACAACACATATAACATCCAAATATTCAAAATATTAATACTACTGCTTGTCACAGATCAGCCAGGTCTCCACACCAGCCAATCCCAGCGCACTCCCTCACCAGAGTACTAATCACACGCACCTGCCACTCATCTGCACACTCATCACGCTGGCTTCAAAAGCACACACATCACCTCACTCCAGTGTCCGGTCTCATTTACACGTAAAGGACTTATTCCCAGTCTCTCCTACGTATTCTCCAAGCTAGTTTTCCAGTGTCGATCCTGTACTTACCTCCTGTGATTCTCCAGCGTGTTCTCCTCGTCCTTGTCCTCCATCGTCTCCATGCTTCTCTCACCCACCTGCAAGTGATTGTGTGTGTGTGCTTCCTCCATTCATCTGCCCATCCACGATCTCCTAGTCCAGTAAGACAAAGACTGATATTATATTCATCATCCTCTCAGCTAAAGTATCATTGCTCAGTTTACTCACCTGATTTCCTGCTGATCCAACTTTGTTGTCATTAAACATCCTGTTTACCGTCATCTCTGTGTTCTGAGTATACTTCCGTAACAGAAGACTGGACACCAAAGGAAATTCTGACGACAACATGAGTACTGCGTTATGCCGTATGGCCTGGTCAACGCCCCCTCCGTATTCCAGGATTTCATGCACGAGGTTCTTCGGGAGTTCCTCCACAAGTTTGTGCTCGTCTACATAGATGATATCCTTGTCTAATCCCGGAGTATGGCCGAACATCGCCACCACGTTGCGGAGGTCCTGAAACGCCTGAGAGAATACCATCTGTTCCTCAAAGCCGAGAAGTTCTCTTTCCACCAATCCTCAGAGCAGCTCCTTGGATATAACATCAACAACAGTGGCATCCAGATGGACGAGGGGAAGGTAGCAGCCATCAAGAACTGGCCAGTCCCCACAACCATCAAAGAGCGCCAACATTTTCTCGGCTTTTCAAATTTCTACAGGAGATTTATCCATAATTACAGCTCCATCGCCTGCCCTCTCACCTGTCTCCTGAAAAACAAGCCCAAGTCCTCTGCCCTGGTCACCATCTGCCACAGAAGCTTTCAACCAACTCAAAGAGGCATTCACCAGTGCACTGCTCCTCATCCATCCTGACCCCAATAAACCATTCACCGTCGAGGTAGATGCATCCACCACTGGGTAAGAGCGGTGTTGTCTCAGCAGCAGGGGACTCCAGCCAGACTCCATCCATGTGCCTTCTTCTCCCGCAAACTCAGCCTGGTGGAGAAGAATTATGATATTGGAAACAGGGAACTCCTCGCTATCAAGCTGGCTCTTGAGGAGTGTAGGCATTGGCTGGAGGGTGCCAAACATCTATTTACTGTCCTCACTGACCACAAAAACCTAGAGTATCTACAAGAGGCCAAAAGACTCAATCCACGCCAAGCTCCCTGGGCATTATTTTTCACCCGTTTCAACTTCTCCATTTTCTATCGTCCAGGTCCGAAGAATGTCAAAGCTGATGCCCTATCCCACTTATATACTCCAGATGAAGTCTGTGAAGATCCCAAGCCTATCCTACCTAAAGAGATTGTTGTGAGTCCCATCCAATGGTCCTCGAGTTCTGTTCCCTCCTCCAATGCCTCCACCACCGCTCCGCCGGGCTGCCCCCCAGGTTTGCAATATGTCACCAGAGCACAACGCACTCCCCTCATTCACTCTGTGCACTCATCTCTGGGCACTGGCCACCCAGGGGCCAATGGTACCCTCTCGTTGCTAAGAGATCGCTTCTGGTGGCCCAGCATGGCCAAGGATGTGAGAAGGTTCGTACAGGGATGTCCAGACTGCGCCATCTCGAAAAGCCCTCGCCATCTACCATCAGGCAAACTCCACCCGTTGCCTGTTCCCAACCGACCTTGGTCACACCTAGGAGTGGATTTCATCTCGGATCTTCCTCCCTCCAATGGTAACACATGTTTCCTGGTGATTATTGACCGGTTCTCCAAATCCTGTCGTCTTCTCCCCCTCAAAGGACTTTCCACGGCCATGGAAACAGCAGAACTCATGTTTAACCACATTTTCCGATACTACGAATTTCCAAAAGACATTGTGTCAGACCCCGCGGACCCCAGTTTATCTCAAAAGTATGGAAAGCCTTCTTCGCCCTCCTAGGTGTGACCGTCAGTCTCTCCTGTGGTTACCATCCCCAGTCGAACGGGCAGACGGAGAGAAAGATCCAAGAGCTAGGTCGCTTCTTACGAACCTTCTGCCATGGCCACCAGAACTCTTGGAACCAGTTCCTGGGCTGGGCCGAGTATGCGCAGAACTCCCTTCGTCAGCCCACCACTGGACTCACTCCCTTCCAGTGCGTACTCGGTTACCAGCCCCCTCTCTTCCCGTAGTCTGGAGAGCCATCTGATGTTCCATCTGTCGACCACTGGTTCCGAGAGAGCGAGAGGGTCTGGGACGCAGCACACGTAAAGGACTTATTCCCAGTCTCTCCTACGTATTCCCCAAGCTAGTTCTCCAGTGTCGATCCTGTACTTACCTCCTGTGATTCTCCAGCGTGTTGTCCTTGTCCTTGTCCTCCATCGTCTCCGTGCTTCTCTCACCCACCTGCAAGTGTTTGTGTGTGTGTGCTTCCTCCATTCATCTGCCCATCCACGATCTCCTGGTCCAATAAGACAAAGACTGATATTATATTCATCATCCTCTCAGCTAAAGTATGATTGCTCAGTTTACTTACTTGATTTCCTGCTGATCCAACGTTGTTGTCAATAAACATCCTGTTTACAGTCATCTCTGTGTTCTGAGTATACTTACGTAACACTGCTATTGTTATATATAAACAAAAATTTTTAAACAAAACAAAAATGTGTCTGTGTGTTTTCATGTTTTCTTCTTTTTCTCATTCTTATTCTTTTTAATAATTATTTATATAATTATTTTTTATTTATTATATGGTGTGATATAGTATCATATAATTGTTTTCCAGAGAACAAAAAATTACAAGAAATATATCATGAAATATGTAAATGGGCTATGACCTTATCATCTTTTAGTCTTTTAGTTTCGGGTATAATGTGAATACAAGGAGAACTGAATTATTTTTACTCGGTTCACTTTTTGGTCTGAGTTTTGTTCTCTTAATAAGAACAAGTGTGAATACTCCTAAAGAGTAACTATCACTGTTGAAAAGAGAGCATGGGAAAAGAAAGAGACTTAATATGAACACAAAAACCATTGCTGCTTAGTTTATACTTTAAGCACACTGTTGATCCTGAGAGCTGCTGTTTCAGTGTGATTCTATGCTTTTCTTCTTTATGATTATTATTAAGTTTGCATGAATATTTTAAATGTTCGTGTCGCAGTTCAAAACACAATCACAATATTTTTATTTCTCATCATGCATAAGTTTTCTCCAGCCACATTCTCCAGCACTGCTTCAGAGCGCTTAGATTAGAGCCGAAGCAAATAAAAGTGAATCAAAGTACTACATTTCATCCATTAAACAAAGTTCCTCTTTTGAATTATAAAATATAACAATGAGTTGATTAAATATTGAATGCACCCAGCCAGTGAGGCACTCTCATCTCATTAACTTAAGAGCACTGTTTTGGTATTATGACCATTGTAAAGGCTCAGTAATTGCATCGAGGAAAATCATTGTTTCTTTTCCCTGAGGAGTGTTTATAGGCCATGTTTTGAGTTCTTGTGTTTGTGTGTCAACAGTGCAACCCAAGATCACGTTCCTAGAAAACCAGACGGCCTCTGAATTGGAGGAGCAGATCACACTAACTTGCGAGGCCACGGGTGATCCCACCCCCAACATCATCTGGAGCTTTGGTCGCCGGGTCTTCACAGATAATGAGCAGGTGCTGAGGTTGAGGGATCAGGGGTCAGTGGGCAAAACGATTGGTACTAAAGGCCGGAAAATACTGATTGGATTGATATACCGGTAGAAATTTGTATACATTTGACTATTATTTTTATCATGGTTATATAAAATGTAGCTACATGGTATTAAGTGGGTGTTTCAGTCACTTTGCAATGTGGAATGAGAAAGAGCTTGTTTAAAAAAAGAAAATGTCCTTTGTGTCGTTTGAATCGACCCCTTTTGTTGTTATTGTTGCCAATGCTTTGAAACTTTCTTATGTGCACCTATTCTGCTGGGGTTTTTTTTAAAAACAAGGATAGGGAAACAGTTGATTTACCTCTAGAATTATTAAGTAACACCTGGGTCAGCTGCGCATTTATATCTAGTAATTAAACATGGTTGGTGAAAGGTTCTAGTTAGCCATGGAAGCTGTACTGGAATGCCTGATGAGAGACTTGTTTCAAAATCAAAGCAAACTTTATCATGTTCAATTGAGATGAGAGAGCTCATTTTTTGGTTGGATTAAAATAAGAGATTCTGAGCAGATAAATGGCCTGATGAATATCATTTTCAGTAATTAGCTATATTGATATTCACTACCGTTCAAAACTGTCAAGACTGCTAAATATTCACCTTTGTTGAATGCATAAATTACAGTCAATTTAAAAAATATATTCACATAAAAAATAGTTATTTTAAATTGTAGTAATATTTCACAATATTACTGTATTTGTGATCAAATAAATGCAATCTTGGTGAGCATGAGAGATTTCTTTCAAAAACATAAAAAAATCTTCCTGACCCCAAACTTTTGATCGGTAGTGTATATTAATTGTTCTGGTATTCTTGACTGTTCAGATAAAGGTCCAACATTTAAATTTGTGAAATGATTATTATTTTTTATTTTTTTTCAGTGTATTTATTTCCTTTCAACTTTTCAGTTTTAAACATTTTCATAAAAATCAGTATATTATGTGTAAGTTCATTCAAAAAGGCTAGTTAGCGCTCCCAGAAGAGGTGTGTTGTCAGTTCCACAAATTGTGTGTTGTATATTGTTATTGACCAGATTCTTTTTATGTTTAATTAATGCATACTTTCTGATTTATTCACCTACCCAGTCAAGAAATACAGCAATTGCACTAGAGGAGTCAAAACAAGAGTACAATACACATTTTTAGGAGTTCTCCTGATTGCTGTAGGCCTATGCTAGTGAGTAAAAGTGAGGTTTTTTATATCTTAGAAGCGGCAAGCTCACCAGTGCTCAGTCTCACTGGTCTCTCAGCTCTGCTGGATTCTGAACCTCTCTTAAGCTGGCTGCACACTAGACGATTTTCAAATCTTAAAAGATTTTAAAAACATGGGAGACCACAGACATGAAGACAGTTCAACTGATTTTTAGCCTTATAATCCTCTGAATGCGCACACTAGATGATTAGACCAGACCACGAGACCACACACTTGATGATTGTAGGAACGATTTCACAGTGACACGAGATCTCACGGACACTCGTGAGATCAAACGGGACTAGAGAAGAAAAACAAATAGAGGACAATCGATGTTGTCAGCTGGCTCTCCCGGCGCGCATTCTGTAGTACAGTGAAAAACAAAGTATAGAAAAGAATATGGGTGATGTTCTCTGCTTTCATAGCATGTTTGTGGCTGCCAAGTTTCAGCTATAGAAGCACGCAACATCCGGTAGGTGACGCTTGCTCGCTCTCATTGGCTATTGCGGGTATCACGTCAGAAGCAGCCCGATCAAGAGTCGTAAATATCAAACATGTTTGATATTTACGATTTGAGTTCGGCGAAGCTCCGTCTCGATCGGGAGCAGTTAAGTAATCGTAATGACACCACACAATAAAGGATTTTTTGGACAAAAAATCACTTGCAACAAGCAGCGAATCAGGCCACACACCCCAAACGTGCAAATCGGGCTTAAAATCGGGCTTAAAATCCTCTAGTGTGCGGCCAGCCTTATTTAGTCAAGCACACTACCTAATTAACAGCCTCGAAATACTCTGTCTCAATTTATATTTCATCATAGTACAGTGATCAGAATTCATCGACAGCTGCTAAAAGCTCTTACTGCTTCTCAGCCTGATGGGGAGCCCCTAACCACTTCAAACTTGATTTCTCCTTCCCCTCTCTCAGGTAAACCCAGTGGTTTTCAATCCTGGTCCTGGGGACTCACTGCTCTGCACATTTTGTGTGTCTCTCTTATTAAACACACCTGATTGAGATCATCAGCTCGTTAGGAGAGATCCATGATCTAAACCAGGGGTGTCCAAACTCGGTCCTGGAGGGCCTGAAGAGTTTAGCTCCAACCCCAATTAAACACACCTGAACCAGCTAATCAAGCTCTTACTAGGCATACTAGAAACTTAAAGGCAGGGGTGTTGAGGCAAATTGGAGCTAAACTCTGCAGGCCCCTGGCCCTCCAGGACCGC